TTTGCAAACGTGACCTAAGTATTGAGACATGTGTCCTAGCGTCTGTAAAGAACTGTAACAGAGGCTACGTCACCTCATCTAATGATGTGATCACAGAGCTGAACTGCAGCATTGCTACAGTTTGCTTTGCTATATTTGTCCTCTGAATCCACTTTATGACTTCAGATGTAATTTCACTTATTAAAACAAAGAAATATTTAAGCTGAGCAACGTACATGACAGAAGGATGAGATTCAGTGTCAGTGCTCTCAGACATTTAGCACACGCTTATTTCCTTCATTTATTGTGATGACAAAACGAATAGTTGTGTTTCTAACAGCTGGTTATACAATCGGACGTTCTCGGTGTCAGGTGGCTTTTGATGAACACAACAGAAGGAAAATGAAGGAGCTGTCTTCGCTTTTTGCTGGAGTGTGCGTCAGAGTGTGTTAACCACAGTCGCTGCCACCTCCCCGGTGTTCACAAATAAACATAATAGCTGCGTTTTGTCGTCACTCGGTTCACACTAAAACCGCTCTGCTCTCTCTTGTTTCTGGCTGTTTCGTTCCCAAAAGGCTGAAAAGTCCACGCTGTGCGTTTGAAGCGTCCCACATTCTGTAATGTCCTCGCCAGCGTTTCCGCCATAAACCACTTCCTGCTGCTCAGAACGAAGATCTGACCTCCCAACACCATAATTAATCTTATTTCAGTTACAGAAACTTTCAGTACTTCTCTGTGAAACACTAATAACTGTTACTGTTACATTTGTGACTGCATGTGATTTAAGTTTATTCACAGCTTTACATTTAACATGTTCAGGTTTTGTCATTTTACTGATGTTTCTTGTAAATAGAGCAGATATTTCGCCACGGCGCGGCGCCCTGCAGCAGGACGGCTGCGTTGCATCATCGTTACTTCCTGATGTTTCAGTGAAATGAAACTGAAATGTTTTATTGTGATTCTGGAAAAATAAAGTTCCAAATGTTTCATCAATAAACTCAGTTTTTTATCACAATGAAGAAGGAACGCCTCCTTAATGAAGATGTTATTATTTATTATTATTTATTGCGATCAGATATAGAAAAGACTGAGAACAGCAGAAGAACCTGTGTGGCTCAAACTGGCACGATGTTTAAATCCCATCAGCTCCTGAGTCGACAGTTTGTGCAGTCAACAAATGAAGAGCCGACATCCTTACACGGACCGGAACCACCTACCGCCATTTCTCCGGTTTCTGATGCCTCGCGACGCTCGACTGACACATGACGAGAAGAGACGGCGAGGAATGTGAGCCTTCATCATCAGAGGAAACAGCCTGTCGTCATCATCCTCAGTGAGTCTGAACCACTGTAAGCTCACACATTCATTTCTCATAATGCTGACACACACACACACGAGTACACAAGTACACACATCCTGTACTTCAGCAGAGGTACAGACTCTCACGCACCACAAAGTTGAAGCACAGCTTCTTTAGTGTTCACTTAGAGCCTCAGGTGTGTGAACCTGCACGGCTCAGGTGTGGCAGCGTGGGCTAACACCGCAGCTGTAGCTAAAGGTTGCTTCAGCCCGTGTAAACATCACACACGTGCTCAACCTGCCAACAATGGAAGCAGGTGAGCGGCTCTCACAGGGACGATCCTCAGTGCACAGTGAACGAGCCTGCTGTGGAATGTGGAAGTGGGAGTGTGGGAGGGAGAGTTTTCCATTTTCCCTCCGGCAGTAGGAAACATCCCAATAAGGACGGCAGGGCGGGTTCTTGCCGCTGACGCTGTGTGGGCGGGGCCTGCTGCCTGATTAAATGGAGCAGTGGTGATGAAGGCGAGCAGAGCTCCGACTGTGAGACAAACTGAAGGATGGCGATGCTGCTGCAGCCTCTGTGGACCTTCGTGCTGGGACACGCCCCCCTCCTGCGCTCGCCCTTCTTCCCCGTGCTCTTCTCGCTCTGCGTCTACCTGTCCTTCTGCCTGCCCTTCCTGCTGCTGGACGCGCTGTCCACCAGGTGGGCGTGGGTGCTCAGGTACAAGCTGCAGCCTCAGAGCTCCGTCAGCTGGTCGTCGGTGCGGCGCTGCCTGGCTCTGACGCTCTACAACCACCTGGTCTTCATCTTCCCGCTCACCGTGCTGCACTGGTACCTGAGGCCGGTGCACCTGACCGAGGAGGCCCCGCCCCTTCCGCGCCTGCTGGCTCAGGTGCTCGTGTGCCTGCTGCTCTTTGACTTCCAGAGCTTCGCCTGGCACCTGCTGCACCACCGAGTGCCCTGGCTCTACCGCACCTTCCACAAGGTGAGTCCCCGAGGACGATGGCGGTGGTGACGATGTCACGCCTTTGTTCTTCCTCCACCTCACGCTCTCTCTCCTCCTCCTGCAGGTGCACCACACCTACACCTCCACCTCCGCCCTCACCGCCGAGTACTCGGGCACCTGGGAGACCCTCAGCCTGGGCCTGTTCGCTGCCGCCAACCCCCTCCTGCTGGGCTGCCACCCGCTCACCGAGCTCACCTTCTTCGTGGTCAACATCTGGCTGTCGGTGGAGGATCACTGCGGCTACGACCTGCCGTGGGCCACGCACCGCCTGGTGCCGCTGGGGCTGTACGGCGGGGCGCGCCACCACGACCTTCACCACCTCAAGTCCAAGTGCAACTTTGCGCCGTACTTCACCCACTGGGACCGCCTGGCCGGGACGCTGCAGACGCAGGACTGAGCCGCCGTGATGGCGAGGAGCTGATGTAGAGACATTTTCTATTTATTTATTTCTTCCTGTTTTTATTTATTATGCCACTTCTGAGCCCACCAATCACAGCGGGCTCTCCTCGACTCGCTGCTCCTCTCTGACGTAGAGACGGAGCAGTCGGAGCCACGAGAGCGCCGTGAGCCGTCGACGGCGTGAGCACGTTAACTGATACCGGACAGATGTGCCGATGAGGCAGCTGGCTGCGAGTGCGGGACAGACGAAAGTGAAACGAGGGACAGAGATAAGCTGGCGAGGAAGACGAGGAGTCGCGCCGCCGCTGAAGGAGAAGCGCGGCGTCAGAGGGAAACTGAAAAGTTTGATTCTGAACTGGGAAGTGAAAGTTTGAGCACTGAAGACAAAATGAAGCTAAAATAAAGTTTGTGAAGAGAAGCACACAAGTCTGTTTCCTGTTTGTGTCCAAACACACACACACGCACACACACACACACACACAGACTAACACACAAACACACAACACAACACACAACACAGACACACACACACAACACACACACAGACACACACACACACACACACACAGCACACACACACACACACACACACACAGACGCACACACACGCACACACACACAGACGCACACACACACACACACAGACGCACACACACACACACACACACACAGCACAACACACACGCACGCACGCACGCACGCACAACACACACACAAACCCTGTGTGTCTGTGAGCTCAGCAG